TATGTTGTTATGTAATTTTACCTCTGTTTATGACTCGTAGAGCAGTATTAATAGTTTAGAGTAAGTCACGTTCCAAAGTCACTCATTTGTTATTAAACTTATCCAGGAATTTACACCTTAAAGTTACGTAGAATTTTGACATTAATAATCTTGGACTTAACAATTCATACTTCATTTATCAATTTAATGACTAGTCTTACTTGTGTAGAATGAATTGACCTTTGAATTTAGAGTGTGTGCCAAATCAGTCATAATATTATAGTTTGAAAAGTGATTCAGGTGATTTGTATATACATTTAGCAAAACTCTTATCGGTCTTCTTCTCCTTTCATATAACTATTTTCCAAACATTTTTATTCTGTATTGAATGAACTCTTCATGCGCTTGAATTCCGGCAGCAGGTACCAGGGTCCTGGGGTATTCAGATGCGTCCCACATGGATCAATTGGATCATTTGAGTATAAGAACTGTAAACCATCTTAACAATTTAAAACTTTCATGTGTTTGAATAATGGTTTTGCTTGTAGTGAGTACAAAGTATCTTTTTGTTTTCCTGGAATTTGGCATTCTATCCAAAAATATCAGTCTCGATGAAATGATTTAAATGAAAAGTTATTCAATAAAAAATGGTTGTTATTTGAGTCCCAGGCTATCAAGCACGCCTTTAATAAATCAAGAGCAAAAAACAACATGTCATTTTACCATAAAATTTTATTGGGTTCAATACACTTATCTTCACAGCATGATAAAAAGTATCTCTTGCACACCTTCAACTGGAAATATATCTGGGATGCAAGCTTGGCAGCTACAAAAATATAATTATGTATTTCTATATCCACAAAATTTAATCATAATTAAAACAAATTTGAAAAATATAAAAGAAGGAAATGAGGCAATAAGGGTAAGCACCAACATTAAATTAACAGGCTCATGGCTCATGCAAAAAACTCTCTCATTTTAAAATTTCAATACCATGTTAGTCCTCAACAAGAATTACATCTTTCAATGTTTGGCAACAATATGAAACATTGGCATAGGAGACACAAACATTCCTGTCAACTTTTCATCACAACATACGCTTACTGTAAAGTAAACATTTTGAATCACACTTATCACATGTACACAAGAGCTTCATATTCATGGAGCTCTTTAGTTTATTTCAGACATACGCAAACGTACCACATTTGCTCATATTTGCAAGCAGACCCGCAGTATCAAATAACTCAACAATATAGACTAGTGTCATCCTTAAAACAAAATTGCTCTTATCTTTTCTTTTTTTCAAATTCCATCACAGAAAAAAAAAAGAAGACAGAATCATCCTTTCTGAAATACCTACACCACTTTTAAAGTTAAGACTACACACAATGTGACTCTCACTAATTTACTTCAAGAGAGGTGTAATTAATTAATGATACGCAAACAACAAAGAGTTTCTTTAAAAGAACATGAGACATGTGCTGAAAGAGAAGTTCACTCCAGTTGTATTAACTAAAAGTATAAGGGGTGAGCTGAGAAATTTTAACAACTGAATGATCATGCAAAATTTGATTTGTGATGTGCCATCTAGGAGACATCCACTCAAAATGGAGTGAAAAATATAAAATAAACAGAATAATGGTAACCAAAAAATCCTCAAGTAACTTTCAAACAACACGCAATGACAGGGTTGCTTGAGGAAATATTCAATTTTCAGTAGGAAAAACAAACAAACATTACATCTATAAAATACAATGGTTTTCACATCATGTGATGCAAATTAGTATCGTAGCAAAAACCTGATTAGACATTTACTTATCTATTCTAAATTGGTGCACAAATACAATGAGCCCAGAATTAGTCCATAGTCAAAAATGTGTACTGCAAAATAATTGCTGTCTTATCATAATTTTGACACCTAATTTATACAGCACACACATATACAAAATCCTTCAAGTCAAACTTTGCCTGCCCCTTTGCAATCCATAAAGCAGTACTTTTTGAGAAAGGAAATAAAGCCAACAAGTATGCCATGTTACAGTAACACTGGCGCAGATACAAATTATAGCACAGACATAAAAAGCCAAAACTGTGGACTTGTTTGGGAGTGGATGCGCCACTATTCCTAATTTTGGAAGAATCAAGTAGTCATACCTTATATCTACACAACCTTAACGACTATACAATCTACTTCACTACTATTAACAGCCAAACCACATATTCAAGGTCATAAAAATGAGTTTAGTAATCAACTACAGAAGTTTTAGGCTTCACCCTAACTTTAAGTGAACCCTTTTCCTTAATTGCATGATGCAATATCAATATCACATATTTGAATGTGGCATTTTAATGAAAGCATACTTGCTTAGCATTTGGAATTTTAAGTACACCGGCTAAACTTACAAAAGCAGTAGTTTGCCGTCACTTTTGTCACTTAAAAATTATGCCACCAAATCTAACGAGACAGTGCTACTTCGGTTAAACATGCTTCTTAAAAACTGAAGTGACTGTAATCATATGCCAAGAAACAGGATGTTTTCTAAAAGATTGTGACAAGATTTAAAAAATACAGGCGAATTGTCAAGTCAGGACTAGTGTGAGCCAAATGAACACTAAGTTTACAAATAATAGCCTGAAAGGCAATAGAAAATCATAGGATATAACACTTTGTTGCAACATACAATAACTTGCTTACAGTCACTCAAGCCATAATAAAATGTTTCCTTCTGGAACTGGCCCATCCAGCACAGTCACTAACACAAATGATCACCATTAACAGAATTTGGTTTCTGACGCTTGACACACATTTTTCAAATTTTAAACTGTATCCAATTCCTGTTCAGTCCTAGACAGATAGAAAAACAAAATAGATTTACTAGAAAATTAACTGATTTTACACTAAACAATCAGTGTTCACTCACTGCTGATTCTATGCAATTACAGTAACAATGTTCTCTGAAGTACAGTGAAAGTGTGGTTACAGTAGTAAAAGGATTCAGTAGAGGATACACGTAAAAAACTTGTCAGTCATAGGTCTTTGCTCCTTACTGTCAAACATTGGTGACATTAACCAATTGGTCTTGAATAAAGTACAATTTGAAGCAGTCTGGTCTTCAAAAATTTGGGTATTCATATCAACCACAAAATTTAAACGGGAAACATAAGCAGAAAAACAGGGGAACAGATAAAAAACTGCAACTTCTGTAGGTGTTAAAATCATTCACACGGTTCAGACTAATAAGGGCAAGCTGACATTTGGATGATGTACCACAAAATGGCACATTTCAGCTTCAAGTAAAAGCGTCTAGATGACAGTCAAAACTGGTATCATTCGGAAGAAGAAATGACCAGATGTAAAAGACATCTACAAACAATTTATCCAAATTCAATTAATTTATTTTCAAGCTTATTGAAAAGTGTTATTTGACATAACAGAGGTTACTGAAGTAAAATGCAAAATAGAGGCAAGATAAAGAAACACAAGATAATCATTGCTGCCTACGTCATACCAGCCTACGATATACAAAAGTGAGTGGTTTTGAAAAACACAAAGCAAAAGAGCAGTCACAACATTTTTTAAAAAGAAGAAAGCATTAAGAGATGTGATAAAAGAAATTAAATGTCTTCTCTCTCATACACACATACATACACACAAACAATTGGGATACATACTAATAACAATATTTTCAAATCAAAGTTCATTTTTCCTCCCCTTCTATCACAGCACAATTTGGGAAAAATGAAAAATAAGTGGTAAAATGGTAAAGTGTAAAGTTACTGCTAGAGAAATCAGATCTTGCCATAAGCAGAATAAGACTTCTAAGCATTCAAGTCAGTTGCTTTAAATGGATAAATATTTTACAACTATACCCCATTATAGCAGAAGCAAATAACTTAGCATTGGGATCAAATGTACTTTTTTCGGTCAAAGGAGGAGGAGCTATGCATTTTAATCCATACAATCTGACCTCAGATGCTTGAAACAAAAACACAGGGATATTTAAGTCAAGGAACCATAATAATAAACACTAAAACATCACAGATTACAAAATTGCAGCATGCCACAAAACAGAAAAGACTATGACGCTGTATGGGGCACAGTTGTTCGAATTTTTTAAAATTCTGCAACTGACAAGCTCCAATAGACCATATGCATTCAGATCACAGAGGGCAGACTATCATCAATATTCATCAAAGAAATCTGCCCTGGGTAAAAACAGTAATTGTGATATACTTCTCAGACTTTTAAAATTTTAGGTACAGTGGAAAGTCTAACATGTGATGATAACTGTTTACCGACTCTTACAATTTAAACCACAAGCAACTATGGCCGGACTGCAATTATCACTCTATGGGAAGAGGTAATAGTCTGAAATATAAAATGAAGCCGATATGAAAAGCCTGAGAAAGCCCAAGTAAGAGCAGTGCATGCATAGGTTACTAATGGAGCATGAGTCAGGATATGTCCGCAGATAGAGGTCTCTGGAAACCTATGTCATCACCAGAAAGATAAGGTTTACCAAACGAACATCTAACTGACATTGGTCTCATAACTGGTGAGCAGAGCCGCATCCACTGGCTCCATACAGGACGGACAAGTGAAGCTGCGCATCAGCCAGTCATCAATACACTTTTCATGATAGATGTGCATACAGGGAAGGTAACGCACTGGATCACCAACCATGAATTCAATCATGCAGATGACACACTCTCTGTTCTTTTTGCAGCCATCATAGGCCCCAGAGGGCAGGTGCTGGATCAGGCCAGCCCGTTTGGCTATCTTCACTTGCTCTTCCTCAGTAAGAAAACTTACAGGTCGACACAAATTCGGCGACGGGTAATAAACTGGAACTCCGGGAACATTTTCTTGATAAACAGGCGGGGGGCCAACAAGACCCACTGGGCCCAGCTGATCGCTAGATGAGGATTCTCGAGTACTGTCACTGCCTCGCAACAGAGAAATATCGTCAGTAGTTGATCCTTTCAAGCAGTTTCCCATCTTGAGATCGCAAACTTGAAACCAGAAGCTTCAAATTGAAACCAGGGGCATAACTCTCCGGACTGTTCAAGTCATTTAACCACTCAGCCTGTTGTTGTCCACAATACAAAACTTGAAGGCCACCAATGGTCACGAACGACGACAAAGCAGACTGCGAACCAGGGCTATGGACCTTTCTTCACAGTTGTTCTCATGAAGACGTCCGAAACTACAGGCAACAATCTGAGTCGTTCCAGAGAGAGATTGCTTTCTGTCCCTGTCCCTCCAGTGCAAAAGCAACACCACTGAGCGAGATGAAAAAGGATGAAGCGTACTTTTGGTCCCATTTTCAGATGCCTCCCTCGAAACTCGATGGAAATTCGAGCTATTTTACAAAAGTTAAGAAGAAGGGGAATGTCGTCTGCTCTCAGACCATCACAAAGCCTAGACCAATCAGGAGCAACCTCTCTCGTGACCGGCTCCAAAAAGACTATCTCTGATTGGTCAACGCTTTGTGACGGTCCGGCAGCAGACGATATTCCTCTCCTTCTTCACTTTCGGAAAAGAGCTTCCAAAAGTGCCAATCAGTGCATTATAGACGCTGGTTTTACACTGGGGATCGTTCACAGAAATTTAGAAATGAACAAAATTGACAAAATAGTAAAGAACCCCATCCCAGGTTGTGATGTGATTATTGTGATACGTAGTCCAGTCCTCTCTGAGTATGGCGAATTCTGCGGTACGCAAGCAAGCAAGACTGCAGTTCTGCTCTTTTGTTTTTGTTGCAGTATTCTCCCCCCCTCCCCTCCCTCCGTCCGTTCAGTTCAGTTTTGAGGCTGAGGTTTTTGTAAGTTCAGGTGCATGTGCACATGCACCAACTGTAGCTACAGTCGTTATTCATTGCAGTCAGTTCTAAAATCTGTAAGTATTTTGTACTTCATCGAAATGGATTTGTGTCATACTCTTCGGAAATATCCTGATTAATGGAGACGTTCTAATGTTCTATTAGTCGAAACAAACACCGTAATCGCATAAGTTCCGTTGTTGGGGTAAGGGAAGTTTTCCTCTGATTGTAATGTAGAGCCTTTAATCATTCCATCTTTCACGACTATGTAGAAATACAAGTTTATTACATACTCGCTGGAACTGTATTTATTTTACCTCCGTTTTATCGTAACTTTCATATTCCCTTCCCCATAACCTGTGAAAATGAGAATGAGAATTCTCTGTTCATTCATTGATGTTTTCTTCCCAATTCATTCAGTCTACATACATTTTTACAGATGACCATGATTACCGATGATGAATCAGTGGATGAGATTGAAGAGTTGGAGTCATTCAACCATGGAAGTAGATTCCAATTTCCTGATGTGCCCTCTGCGGGCATGATAGAATGGTCTTATGACATGAGAAGAAGTATGCAAGAAATCGTGCCAGGCCTTTTCCTTGGTCCATATTCCGCAGCGATGCCATCAAAGCTTGAGACGTTGTTGGTAAATGGAATTACCCACATTATATGTGTTCGTGCGACCATGGAGGCTAAGATTGTTCGCCCAAAATTCCCAGACAGGTTTAGGTATTATACTTAGATATGTTTAATCGGAATAGATTTTGTCTGACTCTCCTTTATGCCTGTTCCATCTCTTATTTCAGGTACCTTGTCTTAGACATTTCGGACTGTCCTACGGAGAACATCATTCAACATTTCAGCACTGTGCGGAATTTTATCAATGAATCTTTAGAATCTGGTGGTAAAACATTGATTCATGGGAATGCTGGCATCTCTAGGAGTGCTGCTCTTGCGATTGCTTTTGTAATGGAGAAGTATGGTCTCAGTTACAAGTGAGTTCAAACTGCTTTTGTAATCTGTCTCGCATTGTACATTTGTCAAATACTTAAGTTAGACTTCTTGAACCAGCACTAATTTCTTCCACTTTTTAACATTACAGGAAAGCTTATGCTCTTCTTCAAGCGAAGCGTTTTTGTGTGAATCCCAACGAAGGATTCTCCCAACAATTAATGGCTTATGAGTCCATCTACTTAGCAAATCTCACTTGTCCTAGATCCAATTCAGAATGTAATTTGAAGCGACCCTTTGATGACATAGACAGAACATTGGAAGCAATGGATACAGAATCTTGAAAATGAATCTCTACCTCTCCACATATGAGTATTAAGTCTGACATAGCCTTGATAGATAAAACTAGTTCAGTACCCTACTTGTACATATTTTCTCTGAAATTGTAGGTGTAAGGGATGGATTTTATCATCATTAGTGATTTTAAAATCTGTAATCCTTCTGTCTGTGTATTGACTGTGATGTGAAATTCTGTTGCAAGAGTTCATGTATTGGTTCAGTAAGGCTGGATCAAATGTGTAGTTTTAAGTAAGCTGTTGAAGCAGTTTTATGTTTATTCTTAGATTATAGAATTATCAAAAAGACTGAATACAGGATTAAAATTTTCCCATCAACATTAAAAATTTGAGAGGCCTGATGAGCAGTCTGTTGCACATTACAAAAATTCTGTTCATCAAAGCAAAAATGTTGATGAATGGGATGCTCTTAAACTAAACTTATTCATACATTGATAGGAATGTCATTCATAGTAGTCATCTAAACTTTTCCTGTGAAATTGATACCAAACAAATTCATGTACCATTTTAGGTTTAGGTTCTTTGGATCTTTAGATGTAATATGAATGGCGTCATGAAATGCTGTTCTGAAGTGAGATTCATTTTTAAAACAAATTTTATTAGTGAACTTAGAGGAAAGATATTTAGAATTCTTAAAATGCCTATACCTGAAATCTTTTGTTTAGTCTTTGCATGTGTCTGTTGTTAAAAGTGCAATCATCTCTCCACTTACTATTTGATATATACTAGATCTTGGCTTTTGCACTCAATTTGATAAGAGACACACATAAAGTGTTCTCTCAAATTTTGACAATTTTGTTGTATCTAGTCCTATATTAAGTGTTAAAATACAGATTAAAGCTGTGTATGTTTGACCAACACATACATTCTTTCGTAATTTAAAAAACGAAAAATTATTTTTGGACTAAGTGCTATGTTGAATTTTATACCAACAGTTAAATTGTCAATTAAAGTCAGCAAGGTTTTGTTTAAACAAAAGTTTGTTCTGTCTCCAGATTTTCTGCAAAACCTCACCCTTAAGCATTTCTACACACACGACAGAAATACAAATGCAGTTAAACCACAATCAAAATATGAACAATTTTTAATTAAAAACCGATAAGCATATGAAGATATGAACAATTTTTAAAAACCAATAAGTGTAAGGGGGTAAAGGGGGTACGAACATGGGCTCAGAGAGCGTTCACCGTTCACCTTGATTTTTCATACTTACTGAGTGCCCCTTGGCAGTTGGCAGGCAACTTTTGGCAGTTGGCAGGACCGCAGCAGGCAGCAGGCAGGCAGACGAGAGGCAGGCGCTCTCACCAGGTTCATCATGTCCGACTGGGGTAGTTATTTTTCTAAAGATTTTGACGTATTTTGTTCTAGATTTTAATTTGCAACAATTTGCTTCAAGTATGCTTTGTTTTTTCTTGCAGATGCTGATGACTACGTTGCTCCGGAACCCGCGACATCAGTGAAAGCAGTCACCATCAACAAATGGGAGGGTGAAGACGAGGAAGAGGATGTGAAGGTAAATGATTTGTACACATATGTTATGCTCTATCCATTGAGAATATGGGTATAGTCCCATGTGCACAACTTACCTTTGTGCGCTGCTAGATTTTTCTCTTTGCTATTTGGCTCACCAGGTTTAGGTATGCCTGACCCCACTATTTGACAACACAAGAAACGCACATGTGAACTAACCTCTCATTGTCTTCTGACGAGCTTGCGTTCCACCTGTGATTAAAGATCCAATCGATTTTTATCTTTTTAAAATGAAACGATTATGAAGATGAAACGACTTTATTTTGATTCATTTGAACATCTGGAGGATAATTTGACCCACTCCAATTTTTTTTGCTGAAAGGTCTCATTGTAAAGTCTCTCTTCATAGCTTTGTCATCGTGTAGTTTCCAGCCTATCAGTCTGGAAGACCTAGTCTGATGTATAGCTTTGTCTTCTTTTGCCCTATCGTATCATTCCACCAAGTGGATCATTTGCATATTAATTTTCTATGATTTATGAAACTGACTGACCTCAATTTTTACTGTTTTTAGGACAACTGGGAAGATGAGGACAATGAGGAAGAAAAGAAAGATTCGGAAAAGCCCCCAGAACCTACCAAGTCAGCCGCTTCTAAGAAACCTAAAAAGAACTTGGCAGAAAAAATCCAATTACAAGAGGAGAAAGAAGTAAGGAGCTTTTTGGTGTTTCTTTTTTTATTTTCTTCTCCTTTCTTTAAATTGAAACTCAAATTTAGCTTGAGAATTTCCTTAAATTTATCTATGTTCCCACTATGTTAAGTGTGTATATTACACATTTTGTTCTCTTGACTCCATACTACCTGAATTGTTGTAATTTTTTGGGACTGCATTTTCAGAGGCTACTGAAGGAGGAACGAGCAAGTGCACAAGCTATGAAAAATCTTACACCAGCAGAACGCCAAGCAGAAAAGCTACGACAGATGAAGTTACAAGAGGAATCTGAACTTGAGCTTGTCAAAGCTACATATGGTGAGTAAATCTTCTGTTTGCACTTTTTAAGCTTGGGGTTTTTCTCTTCATCAAAGAGAAGAGACAATTGGTCTTTGTTTATAAAGTGGTCTCAACATAGAATTCTTTTTCTCTTTTAGGGTAAAGCATCAAACTCTAAATGCATGACCTATATGTTCTTCATGGGTTTTAGATTATTGCATTTGTTGTCTATTTCCACTACAAATTATCTTCACCCTAATGCCCTCCACTAATATAAATTTTGTAACTTTTGGAAACATGATTTGGCAAGAATATTCATTTCTTGACCTAATGTAGTCATCCTGTGATGCATTTTTCTGTGGACTGTATGAGAGGGGTTTCCAGGATTTTCCCTGTATATATCTTAATAAGATCTCAATTTTAACTTATTTTATATTTTATGATAATCTCTTTGTGTAAGAATATTAATTTAAAAAGTTGATTTTTAGATTGAGTACCAGGTAAAATTCCATGTCAAGTACATCATACAAGTGAACTGGCTTAATTTGTTTGGAAATTTTATCGTATGAGGTCTCATACTTTTGAAGTTTTTTAACATTTTTCTTGCGCAAATTCTCAATTGAATGGTCCAAGTATATAATTATAATAGCAACCACTATGATTACCTTAGTACTGTTACCTCTTAACCATACGTTACATTGTGATTGCTTTGAACAAATTATTTATGTGTAATTTTTTTCCCCTATTAAAATACTTTACTCTATCATTAAGTGCTACTATAACTGACTATTTTTGGTAAGATGTGTTGTGATAAATTTGTTTGAGGTAACATGTTGCACTATTTCCAAATAGAAAGAAGTATTTATGCCAGTTTTATTTATTAATCTAACAAGTAAGAACAAGTGGGCTTTATTTGGGTTCAACAAACACTGCAAATATTCCCATTTTAATACTCTATCAGTTGTTGAATCCATCTTGCCGTTGTCATTAGGTAAGGTAGTACATGATGGATGAGTCTGTTTACAGAGTAGTTCTCGATTGTTTCATGAGATTTTACTTTTACGTTTGGGACTTGCAGTATTACAGCAATGGTGATCAAATGTTCAAATGTTTAACTATTTGAAGTGTGATGGAGAACCTGAGACTGTACTCATTAGTAAATCTAGAGCGTCCCAAAATTCACCCTGTGCTGGGTAAATTATTTTTGTAGAATGCTTTTTTTTTACAAAAAATTTCAATGGGATTTCTTATCTTATCAAATATCTGACAGCCATTTCCTCCAGTTGTATTATAACTGTTTTTGCCATTCAAGCTGTATTTTCTTTGTAATGAAATTAAAAGATCTCTTTTATTAGAATTACAAGACTTGCTTCTTGCGTTTGTTTTATTTCCGCTGCTTTTGCAGCCTCCATTATTATCACTTAAAATATACCATATTAATCTGCTATATATAAATGCACAGCAAATTGCAAACACTTTCATCCAATCTCTTTTGAAAGACTTTTTTTCATTGCACCATAACCCACTTTTGAAAGGGATTTCACATTCTATTGAAGTATTTGTTAGTTGATTAAGAAAAAAAATTAGTGCCAGTGTGCTAAAAATCTGGTTTTGTACTGCCTTACTCCTAAACATCAATTGACTTGTTGGTCATTTCTGGACAATACTAAATGAAAATCTGTTGGTAAAAAGTTGTTTGTGGCTATTCTCATTAGTTGTACTGTGATTTCAGGTGTTGAGGACTCTGACACTCCTATTGCTGGAATTGATAGTGCCAATCCTAGAACTACAGAAGAATTCGACCAGTTAAAAGAGGCAATAAATAATAAGATTCAAGAATTTTCAAAATCACCGCATTTTGTGGATTTTGTAACAGATCTAGTTCAGAGTATGGTTGTAAACTGTAAGTAGGCCTTCTTACTAGAATATCTTTTAATTCCTGTTTTACCACCACATTCAACAAAACTCATTAATTCTTTCAGTACCTGTGGTAGATTTGAAGAAACTTAGCGCCAATTTGACTTCTTTGGCAACAGAGAAGGCAAAAATGGACAAGGCTGCTACCAGCAAAAAGAAAGGTGGTAAATTCAAGGGAGCGAAGCTGAAGATGGATGACAGGGTAAGTGAAAAGTGCACTTGGTTTAGGTAATTCAGTTGAATTGCAACTTCTAACTCACTTTTTATTACATTTTAGGATTTGACCACTGAAATTGAATATGATGATCTTGATGATTTTATGTAATCTTGATCAACATGGGTTTGTGAAATCAGCTTTTGGGCATTGTCAGGAAGTTCATGCTACTGGTGTGTGCGAGACTCATAGTGTGTTCAGCCTAGTTGGAAAATGACTGGTAATGATATGCCGGTAATTTTACCATGACTTAGTTCTCTGAACATTTTGTTTTTACTTTGATGCAATAACACAATAAATTTGAACTTAAGTCATAGGACCGTAGCCAGCCTTTGGAAAAGAGCTCTCCCTGGAGAGATGTTGGCAGTGTATTTATTGTATTGTATATTTTTAACCGAGCTGGATTCGGTCAAACTGGTCAAAAGGAAATGTAATGTCTCCCAGGGACTGGTCTCAAATATCATTTGTCTCATCTGCTCAGAAAGCAAAA